TGTATTACATATTATGTTTAGATTTCTTCAACTTTTTAAAAGGGCAACTTATAATCATGTGAATCTACATGTCAAGTTTTATTTCCTAACTTACCGTCATATGGGGTTTGATAAGTTTCCATGTATGGGCGTGCCCAATTCTGTAAAGAATGAAAAAAATCTTTATTTGTAAATGTAAAATATTTAAAAAAAAAATAAAGAGCAAAAGTCTTATGAAAAAAAAGAACATAAACATTATCTATTCCTTTTCCATTACTGATAGTGGCATGAGTGCATTATTTTATGTGCATAAGGAATTTTAATGAAAGTTTTGAGTGATTAAAATAAATGCTAAACAAATACAGAATCAAAAGAGCGTATTAACACCATGTATAATGTTCATATTGATACATCTTAAGCAGATATAAAAAAGAATATCTGAGCCAAACACTATTATAACTAATAAGGTATTTTATTTTCTCTTCTATAATCAGACACATTCAAACTACCCCATTTCAACAATGACGTGATCCAGTTCTTGTAATAAAATATACTTACTGTACGTAACAAACAAAACTAACATTCATGGTACCCAATAATTGTTAAATAAGATGATTTATTACTGTTCAACAAAGTATTTCATTGTATTTCTTTTAGTTTCCTTATTACATTGCAGTCAGTATGAAGCAAAATAATTTCATTATGCTTAGCAAACTCTTTGAAAACGTGTTGTTATTAATAATTTCTGAATGAGAGTTTATAATAATATATCAAACACACTATATCTGCTAAATCTAAGCCAATGAGGTCCTTTTTTTAATACCAGAGTTCTTGAGTCCAGCTGGGATGCAACAGATATAAGTGGTTGAGACACTATTTATAATAGCAAATTATTTGACAACAAGCAAGACCAATCTGTTTATGCCAATGATCAGCTCACCAGACAAGGCAGTGTTAAGGCAATGATCAGCTCCCCAGACAAGGCACTGTTATGTCAATGATCAGCTCACAGACAAGGCAGTGTTATCATGAAAGACAGGGCTTCTGCTCAATCAGCTCGAATCAGATAACCAATGGTTTTAAGTCAGGAACATTAGGCCAGGCCAATCATATGCTATGAACCCTACTGAGCATGTGTGGTCTATACTTAATCATTCCTTGAGAAAGCTATCTAAATAATCAGCTTCTAGGAGCACCATCCAAAGTGAGGTGTAATTTCACAGGCCCAGATTTGAGATCTTGTAAATATGGTGCATAACTATGCTTTTGCCTTAAACATTGCAAAGGGAAGATTTATTAAATACTAATGATAATCTTGTCCCTTTAGTTCATGTTTGTTTACTTAATAAAGTGGAATTATTTTTTGGAATGGACTTATATTTACTTACAGGGCTGTGTGTTTAGAGATGAAGTCTATAAAATTAAGTCAATAAATTCAACTTATCAGACTGAAAGAGCACAGAACTATGAACATAAAAATTTTCAGACTTCCTAGAATCTTGTTTGATTACAAATGTCTGATATCTCAAAATACTCTAGCAGTGACAAAAAACATTATATTAAACATCCTAAAAAATTGCAGCTAAAAAAAGTAGACATAACAGCTTAAAATAGCAGTATTGTCAAAACTGTTTGAGTCACTTTAAAAAAAAAATTTGTCTTTTTTTTGCTTATTTGATAATTAATAATGTTTAGTAGCTCTAAGAATACACATTTTGTAACTTCAATTTGACCATTACAATAAAAAATATCTGGAAGTTTTTTAACTAAAGAAATTTTAGGTTATTCTTGAACTATAATAAATCTATTGAAATTGGAATATTATAACCACACTTTAGTTCTTTTGTAATCATACAATCAAAACACTTGTTTAAAAAGGTCTAGGGCTTTACAATGATCTTACCCCTGATTCATATAGTGAAAAATTAACTGTAGAATCCGAGGAGATACATAGATTTTCTGACGATACTGATCTAATAACTTCAGCATAACCTGTAGAACGCCAGCAGAAAACATTTCTAAGTAATATTCAGCAAATTCTCTGTATCCTTTGGTCACTTTTCCTGGACTCCCATACCTTATTTAAAGAAACAAATTACTGTTCCTGAACAACATAAGAACTTGCAAATTGTTACTAAACATTTAGTGACCATATGGATATTCTGTGTAAAGAAAACAACATAAGCACTCATATAAAATCAACACTTTAGTATTTATTAATAAAGATATGTCATACCTCATTCCTATTAACCATTTAAGACAAGTTAAGCAACTCACAAATTAGTAATTAATTTAGGTCACTATTTGATGGTACCTTCTTCCCTAGTGTCAAACTACCCTTCACAAGTTTTCAAGTAGGGATAGGGCAATTTCTTTTACAAGTTGGATATGTAATTTGTTTTTAGAAACATGCTAGAAATATGACATATCTTAAATAAACATTCTTACAAATACCCAACATATAAGAAGTATTGTGTAAGGTATTTTCATATTATAAAAATTTTATCACATTTTTGCATTAATTTGCCAATGTTACCATCAGCAAAGAGAATATTGTAAATGGGAAATTGTAAGTTTGTTTTAGAATTTTCATGTCAGCCTATACAAGGGCTATCTACAAAGATCTTTTATAATTTTGAACTGATATTCTAGAGGGAAATAAACCAGTCAATAGACCCTCCAAATACTACCACCAGCTCTTGCCTGATGATATAGTGGGATTTGACCACCACTTTTATTGCACACACACATAACTCTAAAGTGTTGAGCATGTTTTTGTGACAACTAAACATGAACCACAAACCCTAAATTCACAGTCCAGGCATGCTAACTGCTAGATTACACTTGGCCAAACTGTACTGGATTTTAAGTTTTTATGGACTACAGCTATGTGCAATGTAGGAATGGAAAACATTTGTGTCAAATAAAAAAGAAGAATAAATCAGAATAATTTTTTTTTCTTTTTATAACTAATGCTTGATTGCAATGCACAATTTTATGATCATATCACAAAATGGGATATCATAATTTTTTCAGTGTAGTAATTTTGCATTAATTTGGTTCATTTAACTAACCAGTACAAGCAATAATTTTCTTTGACATAAACTCATAAATTCAAATTCATTTTGATATCACAGAGAGTAGTAAGAATCACTTGTTCAGATAGTTGGTTATTTGCCAACTTTATTAATGAATTATTTCAAAAAGAAAAACACTTACCACAAATAACTACAGTTAAGAATGAGATGGATTTCAACTTAACTAAAATTATTAGAAGTAACAGACAGTCAGTGAAATTCAACACCATCACAAGTTTAACAGAATGAAAACAAACAGGTAACTAAAGAGCATTCTTTTGCCCAGAGAATGTTCCTAACAGAGATAAAGAAAAACAGGCAAAAGCACGTCTAAAACATAGATAAATAATGAAAGGCATGAGAACCTTAAGCTCCAAATAGTTCTGTGGAAGCATAACAGAAGATAATTAACAAGAGAAGCTTTAATCCTTTAAGTCACAGACATTGAAGATGTGTCCACAGAAGATGAAAATAAAAATTCGAAGAAATTAATAAGCAGAAATACACAATCTGAATCCAACAAAATATGCAATTAGGATCATGCCTATATAATGACAAATACAGGACAGGAAGAATAGTAATGTTGAAACTGATTTCCTATCTTATTATCATAAGTCTTCATAACAAAGGCAGCACTGCCTATGTAGGGATGGCTCTACAGGACAGGAAGAATAGTAGCGTTGAAACTGATTTCCTATCTTATTTCATAAGTCTTCATCACAAAGGTAGCACTGCCTATGTAGGGATGGATCTACAGGACAGGAATAATAGTAGTGTTGAAACTGATTTCCTATCTTATTATCATAAGTCTTCATCACAAAGGTAGCAATGCCTATGTAGGGATGGCTCGAAATGGTATTTTAAATATTTCCTCAATAGGTCATCAGAACTTTACAATACTATACAGTGTTTCCTTTTATAATAATATCTATGTAATGGATGAGTCACAAGTTCTGAGAATGTCTGTAAATAACATAGCAAAAAGTTTACTTTCTTGTTCTTCTTTCTGCTGCTTATTTTTTATTACATGGTAACTCACAAACCAAAACAATTTCTGTCAACCAATTTCACTGATATGACACAGTTTCAAATGGAGCATCCACTTTTATAAGTATTATTAACTAGTAGTGATTAAAAAACAAAGTAATAATTCTAGT